GTTCCAGAAAGTTATGAAAAACCCCAAACTGGAGCGTGAATAAAAAGGACAATGATTGAATGGAAATAAACTGCTTTTATACGGCATTAAAGCTGAAGTGACATTAAATTACAGTGGTTTGATGCTGGCATTGTTGTCTGTTAAAGTAAGAACTTATTGGAGCAGACAAAGTTTACACAGTGACTAAACCACTAAATACACAACAGCTGGTTAGACTTTCAGGAATTAATTTAAACTGCTGTCAGATTAGATAAACCATATGGGAATGTTATTCTGTTTCTGCATTTCACTCTATAGCACTAGGGTTTTCATGTTTTAACATTGATGGGAACAATGGAAAACGTGTCTTTCAAGGTGTAAACCAGGGCTATTCAATTGGCGGCCCGCGGGCCAAATCCGGCCCCCGGGTGATATTTACTGGCTCTTTGAGTATAATGTTAAAAAGTTTTTTTTTAAAAATTAAAGTTTAATTTAAAAAAAAAATTCATTTAACTTTTTTTTTTTTTGGCCCAGTGCTTTTATTCCTGAGAGGGTGTTACATTGAGAGATAGAGGGGAAGACATTGCCTGAAAACTTTGGCGAGCTCCATGGATTGGTCCATTTGGGCATGGTCACGTCACTGTACCCAAGAAGAAAAAGAGAAACCTCCTACGAGTAGTTCTGGGACAGACAGGTCTTCTCTGTGTCAGAGTGTTACTCCCTAAACCAAACCGTTTCCTGATGAGAGAAACCAGGAATAGTGGATTAACAGGGCTTTGCTGATGCTTCATTTACATGAGAAAGAAGTTACCTGATTGATTCTGCTTATTTTAGATCCTGAAGGAATGAAGTATATGGGTTGTCCTTCATGTCATACAGTAAGGTTGAGGCTGTCATCAACTCATTGCCAATATGATGAAGACATGGATCCCCTTGAGGTATATTATATATATAAAGGGTATAAGGTGTTTCTGTCAACAAAAAAACCAGGTTCCACCGAGACTTGAACTCGGATCACTGGATTCAAAGTCCAGAGTGCTAACCATTACACCATGGAACCATGTTAGTTAAACATTATGGCACTTTTGTTTCGAGCAAATGAATGTGTAATACATGTCTTTATTCCAGAGGAGCTGTGTTTCATAAAACTAAATCCACGGTACATTTTGTTGAATGTTCTTGCAACTAAACAGTTCATCAGGGGCAGCGTGACTATTCACACTTTCTGTATCATTTTGTACTAAAGAAAGAATACGTTTGGTTGTTATCCAATGGGTTTTGCTAGCTCTAAATGTTGAATGAAAGAACAGTTTGGGTTTCATCCCCTCTCTTACAGGGAAGTTCTGCAATGTGAATGTTCACTTGTTTCAATTGGCAGTGGTGCCCACAGTCAGCATTTAATTTAGTTGAATAGTAGACATCATATACAGAGTTACCAGGGTTTTGTCTGTAGATCTTCAGGTTCCACCGAGATTTGAACTCGGATCACTGGATTCAGAGTCCAGAGCGCTAACCATTACACCATGGAACCATGTATTCAGCCCAGACTCTGGTCTAGAAACGCCAAAGTAAGCCTTGGTTTTTAGTTTCAAAGAACACAGCTCCTCTGTAGTCCAAAGTAGAGTAAAGAGTGCAGAACAAAAGTGCAATAAATCCTTAAACACATGGTTCCATGGTTAGCACTCTGGACTCTGAATCCAGTGATCCGAGTTCAAATCTCGGTGGAACCTGATGACTTACTGACAGAAACAGGTCTGACAGACATCCTGGTAACTCTGTATATGATGTCTGCTAGTCCACTAAAATAAATGCAGAGTGTTACTCTCACTGTGGGCACCAGTGACAATTGGACATTCACATTGCAGAACTTCCCTGTAAGAGAGGGGGATGAAACCCAAACTGTTCTTTCATTCAGCATTTAGAGCTAGCAAAACCCATTGGATAACAACCAAACTTATTCTTCTTTAGTACAAAATGAAAACAGAAAGTGTGAATAGTCACGCTGCCCCTGATGAACTGTGGATTTAGTTTTATGAAACACAGCTCCTCTGGAATAAAGACATTTATAAGACATGCATTTGCTGGAAATAAAAGTGCCATAATGTTTAAAAAGCATGGTTCCATGGTGTAAGGGTTAGCACTCTGGACTTTGAATCCAGTGATCAGAGTTCAAATCTCGGTGGAGCATGATCAGTTGCTGAGTTACCCCAAACATAATTGATATGTAATCCCCCATTTCCAATATGTTTAAACCATCATGTCAGAACTTCGCTGTAAGAGATGGAGGAAAGTCCAAATGCAACTATATCTAGGTTAAACTTTGGTTTCTCAATTCTAGTTGTCGGTGACTGAACCAATAGATGAAGAGAGAGTGTTTGGTCCCCATCTCTTACAGTAAAGTTCTGGCATGACGGTTTCCCTTCAAACACATTGGAAATGGGGGATAATATGTTGTATATGTTGGGAGTCACTCAGAAAATCTTCAGGTTCCACCGAGATTTGAACTCGGATCACTGGATTCAAAGTCCAGAGTGCTAACCATTACACCATGGAACCATGTGTTTAGGGTTTTATTGCACGTTTCTTCTGCAGTCTTTACTCAACTTTGGACTACAGAGGAGTTGTGCCTCTGCAAGTAAAAGTTATACGTTGGCGTTTCTAGACCAGAGTCTTTTGATTATTTACAGAGTTAACCCAAACATATACAATATATAACAATATATAATCCCGCATTTCCAAAAGGGAACGCATGTCAGAACTTTACTGTAAGAGATTGGACAGAACCAACAGTTGACTCGTCATCTATTGGTTCAATCTCATTTTCCATGGTGTAATGGTTAGCACTCTGGACTCTGAATCCAGTAATCTGAGTTCAAATCTCGGTGGAACCTGAAGATTTACAGAGTCAACCCAAACATATACAAAATATAATCTCCCATTTCCAATGTATTTAAAGGGAACCCATCATGTCAGAACTTCTCCGTAAGAGATGGTGACAAACCCTAAACAGTTGTCTCGTCCTCTATTGGTTCAGTAACCAACTCCTAAAAGCAAGAAACCAAAGTTTAATGTAGATTAAGTTGCATTTGCTCGAAAAACAGTGCACTAAAACTCACAAACTCATGGTTCCATGGTGTAATGGTTAGCACTCTGGACTTTGAATCCAGTGATCCGAGTTCAAATCTCGGTGGAACCTGATCATTTACAGAGTTAAACCACCAATATAAAATATCTAATCCCCCATTTCCAATGTGTTTAAAGGGAACCCATCAGGTCAGAACGTCACTGTAAGAGATGGGGGAACCTATTCTTTCTCCAGCATTTACAGTTATCAAATTCAACGGTAGTCTTTCTAGTACGACATTTTTAAAAGAAAGTAGAAAGAGTCATATTGCCCCGTATTCACTGTCAAAAGGAACTGTTTAGTTGCAAGAACATTCAGAGAGGAAAGTCCCAAAAAAACAGAAAACATGGTAAAAATACAAAGAATAAATAAATACCCTCATAACCCCTTATGGACTATTGGTTCAGTTAAAAACTACTAGAAACGAGAAACCAAAGTTTAACGTAGATTTAGTTGCATTTGCTCGAAAGAAAAGTGCACTTTTCAGTTTCATAGAACACAGCTCCTCTGTAGTCCAAAGTAGAGTAAAGAGTGCAGAAAGAAAGTGCACTAAAACTCAGAAACTCATGGTTCCATGGTGTAATGGTTAGCACTCTGGACTTTGAATCCAGTGATCCGAGTTCAAATCTCGGTGGAACCTGATGATTTACTGACAGAAACCCCACAGTGCTGCCAGGTTTCTTTATGTATGCCATAAGGTACTCTTTCTAGTCCAAAAATGATGGTGACAAACCCCAAACAGTTGACTCGTCCTCTATTGGTTCAGTAACCAACTACTAAAAGCAAGAAACCAAAGTTTAACGTAGGTTTAGTTGCATTAACTGAAAAATAAAGTGCACTAAACCCCTGAACACGTGGTTCCATAGTGATACATTAGAGTTACCCCACACATGTTTAGATGTAGGTTTAGGGTTTAAGGGGAAACATTCATGTCAGAACTTCTCTGTTAGAGATGGTGACAAAACCCAAACAGTTCTTTCTTCTTCCAGCATTTAGAGTTATCAAATTCAAAGGTAGTTTATCCAGCAGTTCTCTCTTTTTCTATCGGTTCAGTTACAAACTACTGAAAGCGAGAAACCAAAGTTTAACGTATATAAAGTGCACTAAAACTCACATATACATGGTTCCATGGTGTAATGGTTAGCACTCTGGACTTTGAATCCAGTGATCCGAGTTCAAATCTCGGTGGAACCTGATGCTTTACAGAGTCAACCCAAACATATACAGTATATAATCTCCCATTTTCAATGTATTTGAACGGAAACCATCATGTCAGAACCTCACCGTAAGAGATGGTGACAAACCCCCAACAGTTCTCTCGTCCTCTATTGGTTCAGTAACCAACTACTAAAAGCAAGCAACCAAAGTTTAACTTAGATTAAGTTGCATTTGCTCGAAAAACAGTGCATTAAAACTCACAAACACATGGTTCCATGGTGTAATGGTTAGCACTCTGGACTTTGAATCCAGTGATCCGAGTTCAAATCTCGGTGGAACCTGATCATTTACAGACAGAAACCCCACAGTGCTACCTGGTTGCTTTATGTATGCCATCAGGTAGTCTTTCTAGTCCAAAAAGAAAGTAGAAAGAGTCCCATTGCCCCCGTAATCACTGTCAAAAGAAACTATTTAGTTGCAAGAACTTTCAACCAACCTCTAAAAGTCAGAAACCAAAGTTTAACGTAGATATAGTTGCATTTGCTCATAAAAATGCTCCATGAACTCAGAAACGTATGGTTCCATGGTGTAATGGTTAGCACTCTGGACTTTGAATCCAGTGATCCGAGTTCAAATCTCGGTGGAACCTGATGCTTTACAGAGTCAACCCAAACATATACAATATATAATCTCCCCTTTCCAATGTATTTGAACGGAAACCATCATGTCAGAACCTCACCGTAATGTGACAAACCCCCAACAGTTGTCTCGTCCTCCATTGGTTCAGTAACCAACTACTAAAAGCAAGAAACCGTAGTTTAAGTTGCATTTGCTTGAAACACAGTGAACTAAAACTCACAAACACATGGTTCCATGGTGTAATGGTTAGCACTCTGGACTTTGAATCTAGTGATCTGATTTTTTTTTGATAGCTGAAAAATAAAGTGCACTAAACCCCTGAACACATTCATGTGAGAACTTCCCTGTAAGAGATGGTGACAAAACCCAAACAGTTCTTTCTTCTTCCAGCATTTAGAGTTATCAAATTCAAAGGTAGTTTATCCAGCAGTTCTCTCTTCCTCTATCGGTTCAGTTACAAACTACTGAAAGCGAGAAACCAAAGTTTAACGTATATAAAGTGCACTAAAACTCACATATACATGGTTCCATGGTGTAATGGTTAGCACTCTGGACTTTGAATCCAGTGATCCGAGTTCAAATCTCGGTGGAACCTGAAGATTTACTGACAGAAACCCCACAGTGCTGGCTGGTTTAATGTATGCCATCAGGTAGTCTTTCTAGTCCAAAAAGAAAGTAGAAAGAGTCCCATTGCCCCGTAATCACTGTCAAAAGAAACTATTTAGTTTAGAACTTTCAACCAACCTCTAATGCCCCTTTCACACCAACGGGTTTTCAGGGCCGGCTCGGAGCTAGAGCCTGAAAAGTACCGTTATTTCCTCTTCACACCGCAGCGGCGGCGCCTCTTAGCTCCGGAATCCGGTTCGTTTCCAGCTCCGAAAAATGGTCGGTCTAGCAAGCAAGATCCCGGAGCTAAGAGGCGGCGCCGCTTACGTCTCTCTTACGTCGAGGCGGGGGCACGGGCAGGATCAACCTCCTGAAGACCGCAAAGAAGTCTTGAATTTCGTATGTGATGTTTGTAAAGTAAAGTAAAGTCGTCCCTTGTAAAGTCGTTCCTTGTAAAGTCGTCCCATGCCTTCCATTTCGTTTCGTAAGAGCATAACCAAAGCAAACAGCGCTTCACTACAATCGGCCATTGTTGTTGTTGTCGATGTGAGGGATTTCCGCACGGTTTGGCTTTTATGAAGCAGGTACCTAAACGGTTACGTCATGATGCAAACAATGAGGCAATGACGCAGTACCACCCCGGCTCTGCGTGGTGTGAACAAAGCGGGAGCAGAAAAAGGAAACCGGAGCTGAACCAGAAAAGCTCTAGAACAGAGCTAGAATGGAAAAAGCGCTGGTGTGAAAGCCGCATCAAAGTCAGAAACCAAAGTTTAACGTAGATATAGTTGCATTCGCTCATAAAAAAATCTCCATGAACTCAGAAACGTATGGTTCCATGGTGTAATGGTTAGCACTCTGGACTTTGAATCCAGTGATCCGAGTTCAGATCTCGGTGGAACCTGAAGATCTACAGAGATACCCCACACATATTCAATATAATCTTCCATTTCCAATGTATTTGAAGAGAACCTATCATGTCAGAACTTTACTGTAAGAGATTGGACAAAACCCAAACAGTTAACATTTCATCTATTGGTTCAGTTACAAACTACTAGAAGAAAGAAACCAAAGTTTAACGTAGGTTTAGTTGCATTAGCTGAACAATAAAGTGCACTAAACCCCTGAACACATGGTTCCATGGTGATAAATTAGAGTTACCCCACACATGTTTAGATATAGGTTTAGGGTTTAAGGGGAAACATTCATGTGAGAACTTCCCTGTAAGAGATGGTGACAAAACCCAAACAGTTCTTTCTTCTAGATATAGTTGTATTTGCTCATAAAAAAAGCTCCATGAACTCAGAAACTCATGGTTCCATGGTGTAATGGTTAGCACTCTGGACTTTGAATCCAGTGATCCGAGTTCAAATCTCGGTGGAACCTGATCATTTACAGAGTTAAACCACCAATATAAAATATCTAATCCCCCATTTCCAATGTGTTTAAAGGGAACCCATCAGGTCAGATTGTCACTGTAAGAGATGGTGACAAAACCCAAACAGTTCTTTCTTCTTCCAGCATTTAGAGTTATCAAATTCAAAGATAGTTTATCCAGCAGTTCTCTCTTCCTCTATCGGTTCAGTTACAAACTACTGAAAGCGAGAAACCAAAGTTTAACGTATATAAAGTGCACTAAAACTCACATATACATGGTTCCATGGTGTAATGGTTAGCACTCTGGACTTTGAATCCAGTGATCCGAGTTCAAATCTCGGTGGAACCTGAAGATTTACTGACAGAAACCCCACAGTGCTGCCTGGTTGCTTTATGTATGCCATGAGGTAGTCTTTCTAGTCCAAAAAGAAAGTAGAACGAGTCCCATTGCCCCATAATCACTGTCAAAAGAAACTATTTAGTTGCAAGAACATTCAACCAACCTCTAAAAGTCAGAAACCAAAGTTTAACGTAGATATAGTTGCATTTGCTCATAAAAAAGTGCCATGAACTCAGAAACGTATGGTTCCATGGTGTAATGGTTAGCACTCTGGACTTTGAATCCAGTGATCTGAGTTCAAATCTCGGTGGAACCTGAAGATCTACAGAGATAACCCACACATATTCAATATATAATCTCCCATTTCCAATGTATTTGAACGGAAACCATCATGTCAGAACCTCACCGTAAGAGATGGTGACAAAACCCCAACAGTTGTCTCGTCCACTATTGGTTCAGTAACCAACTACTAAAAGCAAGAAACCGTAGTTTAAGTTGCATTTGCTCGAAAAACAGTGCACTAAAACTCACACACTCATGGTTCCATGGTGTAATGGTTAGCACTCTGGACTTTGAATCCAGTGATCAGAGTTCAAATCTCAGTGGAACCTGATCATTTACAGAGTTAAACCACCAATATAAAATATCTAATCCCCCATTTCCAATGTGTTTAAAGGGAACCCATCAGGTCAGAACTTCCCTGTAAGAGATGGTGACAAAACCCAAACAGTTATTTCTTTTTCCAGCATTTAGAGTTATCAAATTCAAAGATAGTTTATCCAGCAGTTCTCTCTTCCTCTATCGGTTCAGTTACAAACTACTACTCGCTTTTAGCGAGAAACCAAAGTTTAACGTATATAAAGTGCACTAAAACACACAAATACATGGTTCCATGGTGTAATGGTTAGCACTCTGGACTTTGAATCCAGTGATCCGAGTTCAAATCTCGGTGGAACCTGAAGATTTACAGACAGAAACCCCACAGTGCTACCTGGTTGATTTATGTATGCCATAAGGTAGTCTTTCTAGTCCAAAAAGAAAGTAGAAAGAGTCCCATTGCCCCGTAATCACTGTCAAAAGAAACTATTTAGTTGCAAGAACTTTCAACCAACCTCTAAAAGTCAGAAACCGATGTTTAACGTAGATATAGTTGCATTTGTTCATAAAAAGTCTCCATGAACTCAGAATCTCATGGTTCCATGGTGTAATGCAGAGGTGCCCAGTACGTCGACCGCGGGCGACCGGTCGCCCGCGGGGGCAAAGCTGGTAGATCGCGAGTCATTCTTAAAAAAAAAAATCCAGCTCCGTTAAAATAGACAAAACAGGTTTTGATCCCTCCTCCCTTGGCCTCCCTGCCACTTAATTCAGGAGTTTACTTGATTGACAGAAAAAGCGACCTATCGCTTTCCAGTCTGTTAACCCAGAATGCAAAGCGATACAAAATCAGTCAAGTGCCGGGAAAACTCAAATTAAGTTAAAGAGACTAACAAGAGAGAAACAACAAAATGAGTGCGGGACCGAGCAAGAAGCTAAAGACATACCACTTCCACCCAGAATGGGAGGAAGAATATTTGTTTGTGATGTCACATTCAAAGGTTATTTGCCTTATTTGTAAAGCAAGCGTCGCTCTGCCAAAGAAAGGTAACGTGGAGAGGCATTATCGGAGTGTTCACAAGGCATAGCAGCGACTTCCCTCCAAGTAGCGAGTTGAGAAAGGTGTATTATTGCTACACAAACATTATCTCGAAGTCTTAGTGTCGCCAACTCGTTTCTAACATGCAAAAAGACAAACAAATGCGTCTATGGTCGGTGTATTTTCAATCTTTCCAATCCAGACGAGATCTCTCTCCCGTCTGTGTGCGAGGGGGCGGGGGGGCAGTTTACACACACGCGGCTGCTCCATGCAGCAACACACGGAGGAGATGGCGGAGAGAAGCGCTCCAAGGTGTGGTTAAATGTTACCCGTCTTGAGGTGGACAATGCTCCTTGCCAAGAGAGTTCAGCATGTAAGGGCGGTAACACGAGCAGTGTGTCTAAACATTTATCAAAAGTGCTCCACATCCAGACGGAGGAATGCACCGGGTTCCACTGTCTTTCTAGCAGCTCTGTAGCCCCGTCCACGAGTAACATTTCCACGTCAGGTGTTCTGTATGCTAGCAGCAACACACGGAGTTAACTCATGATTCAAACATGGGTTAATGATTAGAGGAAACTGAGTTATTTATTTTGTTAAAGTTTCAGCTATTCTGTTTACAGTTCTGTCATCACATTATTTAATAGGATTTGTTAAAACATTGTTGTTTCTTTTGATGCGAAATATTATTTATTTTATTTAAATAAAAAGCAATGTTAATTTTGTAAACAATTTGTTAATTTAATAATATATGTATTTTTGAATCAAGTATTAATCTTTATTGTCTTCATTGTTAGTTTCCACATGCCTAAAACAACCTCAAGCTAAATCTAAAAGTTGATGGCTAAACAAGAGCGTTTGAGAAATTGTGCAAGGCATACAGTAATAGTCTGAATAGTCGATTAGTCGTTTCATTAATCGATAGATTAATCGATTATCAAATTAGTCGTTTGTTGCAGCCCTATTATCCCATGTATAAATAAAACGTGTTATTGAGCAACCCTTGCAATTTGGGATTTTATTTTTGGTTGGTAGACCTCGGTGAGCTGGTCATTTCAAAAGTAGCTCACCAGCCCAAAAAGTGTGGGCACCCCTGGTGTAATGGTTAGCACTCTGTACTCTGAATCCAGTGATCTGATTTTTTTTGATAGCTGAAAAATAAAGTGCACTA